TCAGGTGCCTTCTTCCCTCCCTCCAAGCACACAGTTAAAAGTTAGGATGAAGAACTGAAAGCCTCAGCCTGCAACCTGGCCTTATACTGAACCTTCTTCACAAGGCAGGAATTTCCCCTTTATTGATGAAGATTCACTCTTTTTCTAAACCTGCTTGGGGAAAATTGGGTGTCTTCACAGTGGGGGGTAGAAAGGCAACAACTATTGTTCTGAGCCTTTTTTTTTTTTAATTATTAGGGTAGAGGGTTGGGCAGAATGGAGCAGAGAATAAGGTCATATTTATAGACTTGAAAAGGCCTGGGATCCACATGGCTATGAAAGCCCAAAGTGATTGATTAGGTTAAGCCAGTGGCAAGGAAGGAGGATGAAGAGGTAGTGAAGGCAGAATTGAGAAGCCTCCCCTAGTGTCTCTTTCTGGTAGCTCTGAAGTCAATGTAGTGCTTGGAATTCCCATTAAAAGTCTAAATATATGAGATTTAATATTGAAATTTACAATTGCTTATTCAGGTATTCTAGTCTCCCTGGACCTTGGCTTCCCCATCCAAGTTGGTTGGGTTAGATGGCTTTTGAAGTCCCTTCCAGCCCTAAATCTATGATTCTATGAACCTATCAGATAATGATCATCAAAAATAATACATAGTTTGATGAAATTTCAACGTGTCATAGTGACCCAGGGTTTGGAGATTTATCATGCCCTGATTTATACTGTATGAGATAAATTTCAAATCTTGTTTCCACGTATATGTATATATTCATCCTCTGTACAACTGTTTGATTTATATGCTAATCTCTACAAATCTTTGCTTCTTCCATTATTCCCTATCCCAGTATTCCCTAGATCTTTAAACACAAACAGTCAAGGTTAAACCCTGGCATCTAACAACTCTAGATTTACTCCTAGTCTCAAAGAATGTATTGAATATTCAGGAGAGGCTATTCCTCTGCAGCAAGTAGGTATTATGCTGAGCTTTTCCAGGGTGAGTTGTGTGAACAGTCCCTTTTCACCTCATATGAGGTAAGAAATTCCTTTTTCTATTGGAAGTTCCTTTTTCTAAGGAATAATGATACATACTTAGGTGATCTTGGTTTGATTTAATTCAGCCTCACATCAAGACATATGCCTCCGTAGTTGGCCAGACCTTAATTACTATACCTTGTTTCCTTTAATACATGCTTTTAAATTTTCAACAGGGATGTGGGGATACTGCTTCTTTGGGCCCATATTTTCCCACAAGGTGTCTCTGGAGAAAAAGAATTCATGATGTTACATTCTTTGTGTTTAAATCTTAGGGGATCATTTCTGGAATATTTTTGCTCCTCGCTTTGAGACCAATGTCTTAGGGTCTCTGAATACCACAGTTGGTTGAGGGCATTTGCTCTTGAAGTTACATTATTTATGTAGCATCTCCTCTAGAATACTCACCAAACTTGTACTTGTAGGTTGGAAGGTTGGGTCCCCAGAAACTGGCTGCTACATTGGGTTCTAGAGATAAACCTATGGGGCTATACTTCTAACACTCAACAACCCATACTGATCTGCCTCCCGTTAACAATTAATCCGTAGACTCAACTTGCCTTAGTTCAGCAGGTTCTAGGCTTTTTTTTTTAATGTAAAACATGTTTCCATATTAGCCATGACAAAAAAAAAAAAAAGGTAAGAAAAATAAAGAAAGTGAAAAAAAGTCTACGCATAGAGTTCATCATTTCTCTCCCTGGAGGTGGATAGCATTTTTTCATGATGGGTCCTTTGGAATTGTCTTGGATCATTGTCTTGATCAGAGTAGCTAAGTCTTTCACAGTTAATCATCGTTATAATATTGCTGTTACTGTGTACAATGTTCTTCTGGTTCTGCTCACTTCACTTTGCATCAGTTCATATAAATCTTCCCAGGTTTTTCTGAAACCATCCTGCTCATCATTTCTCATAGCACAATAGTATTCTGTCACAATCATATACCACAACTTCTGCAGCCATTCCTCAGTTGATGGGCATTCTCTCAATTTCTAGTTCTTTGCTACCACAAAAAAAGCCACTATAAATATTTTTGTATAAATAGGCCCCTTTCTCTTTTCTTTGATGTCTTTGGGATAGAGACCTAGTAGTGGTGTTGCTAGATCAAAGGGTATACAGTTCAATAGCCCTTTGGGCACAGTTCTGAATTATTCTCCAGAATGGTTGGACCAGGTAGTTCACAACTCCACCAACAGTACACTGGTGTCCTAATTTTTCTACGTCCCCTCCCCTCCAGGATTTGCCAGTTTCCTTTTCTGTCATGTTAGCTAGTTTTATAGGTGTGAGGTGATACCTCAGAGTTGTTTTAATTTGCATTTCTCTAACCATTTGTAGGGGAGAAGTGAGTTAGTGTAGTGGATAGATTGCTGAGCCTGGAGTCAGGAAGACTCATCTTGGTGAGTTCAAATCTGGTCTCAGACACTTACTGGCTGTGTGACCTTGGATAAGTCACTTCACTCTGTTTGCTTTGGTTTCTTCAAATTTAAAATGAGCTGGAGAAGAAAATGGCAAACACTTCAGTATCTTTGCCAAGAGAACCCCAAATGGAGTCACAAAGAGTTAGGCATAACTGAAAAATGACTGAACAACAACAAAAAAAATTCACTGATTTAGAGCATTTTTTCATATGACTATTGATAGCTTTGATTTCTTCTTCTGAAAACTACCTATTCATATCTTTTGACTATCAATTGGGGAATAGCTTTCATTTTTATAAATTTGACTCGGTTCCCTATGTATTTGGGAAATGAGGCCTTTATTAAAGAAACTTGCTGTAAAAACTTTCTGCCAGTTTCCTGCTTTCCTTCTAATTTTAGCTGCCTTAGTTTTGTTTGTGCAAAACCTTTTTAATTTCGTGTAATCAAAATTATCCATTTTACTTCCTGTGATCCTCTCTATCTCTTATTTGGTCATAAACTCTTCTTTTATCTATAGATTTTACAGGTAAAATTTTCCATGCTCCTCTAATTTGATCATGATATCACCCTTTATGTCTAAATCATGTACCCATTTTGACCTTATCTTGGTTTATACAGTGTGAGATGTTAGTGTATCCCTAGTTTCTGCCAAACTGTTTTCCAGTTTTCTCAATAGTTTAGTCAAATGAGTTCTTGCCCCCAAAGCTTGGCTGTTTGGATTTATCAAACACTAGATTACTGTGGTTCTTTACTGCTGTAGGTTGTGTACCTAATCTGTTCCACTAATTCACCACTCTATTTCTTAGCCTGTACCAGGTTGTTTTTATGATTACTGCTTTGTAATATAGTTTGAAACCTGGGCCACCTTCCTTCATATCCCACCCACCCCCAAGTTGATTCCCTTTGTGTTCTTGTCCATTTGTTCTTCTAGATGAATTTTGTTATTATTTTTTTCTAGCTCTATAAAATACTTCTTTGGCAGTTTAATCGGTATGGCAAAATTTTGACTTTTAAAAAAATACAGTAGGTATGTATGAACCATAAATTACAGCTAATGTAACAAATAAAAATTTAAAACTAGTATATAAAAATACCGTAGGAATAAAAAGGCTATCAAATACAGCTCTCTTTCTTGAGTCTCTAAGTTAGGAACTATAGAAAATGCCTTGCAGGCAGTTTGAACTCTGGAAAATATTTTTGACAACCATCTCAGCCCCAGGCTAATCCTTTTATAATTTAAACTACCAGACTTCTAAAGGACCTGGTAGAGCTGAGTCACTAGGCAGGTGGAGGCCTAGATGTGGCCACTACTGCTGCGGTAGCCCCAGGACCAGCCCAAGCTCCTGCTACCTCTTACCTTTTGCTGATGAGGTCCCCAAATTTTTCTGGCCTACCTTTTATCATTAAAAAACCCTCAAAACAACTCTAAAACTGAGGGAGGAATTTTAAAACAAATTTTAAAAAAACGCTATTTAAGTGATCATTTTAAAATGATAGAATGTCAGAGTAGGTCATAAAAATATTCTAGAATAAAATAATTCTGATGATCAAGAGCAGCACCAGGATTATCAAACATCACCTCTCTGAAGATGAATCTCAAGTCTGTGTCTTTATCCCCAATCTCTTTAGTTTCTCAGTCTCATATTTCTACAACATTTCAACAACAGTAACATTACTAATCTTTTCTTTCCTATATTAACATAGTGAACTTCTTACTGCCTTCACACTATTGCCAAAGAAATCTTCTGAATGCACTGCTCTGATATCACTCATTGATTCAAAAACCTTTAGTGGTTCTCCTTTGCCTAATGAGTACAGTATAAACCGGGGATCTTGGCATTCAAGGCCCTCCACAATTTGGCTCTTACCTTATCCAGCCTTATCTCATAGTACTCTCTTTCATATATTCTACTTTCTACAAGTTGGACTATTATCTGCCCTCTGTTCTAGTCCTGCCCTCTCTTATCACCATGTTGTTGCTTATGCCCTTCCTATCATCTGGTATGGATTACCTCCTTTACTCCTTCCACTTTTTTTACACAGGGACACAATAGAAGGAAAACTGAATTTTCAGTCAGAGGATTGAGAACCTGAGTTTGAATCCTAACTGGGCTACTTATTACCTACATAAGTCATTTTATTGCCTTGAGCTTCATTTTCCTCATCTAGAAAGTGGAAGTAATAATACCTGAACTGACTACCTTAAGTAATTATTGGGGGGATCAGATGAGACCATGTGGGGAAAAATTTTACAAAGTATTCTACAGGCATATGTGTTAATGGCTTTAATTTGTTCCATGAAAGCCCATTTTTAGGTATTTGAGAGAGATGTTCCATACCCCTACCCTAATTAATGTAATTACAGGAAGCCTAGACATCTCCACTGAATCAGTTGGACAAAAATGTAAACCAGATGCGAACCAGTTCTTGATCAGTTTGGCAGAAGTGAAATGCTTTGATCATTGGGTGAAATCAGATGATGTCACACAGTAAATGCAATGGCATTGGTTGAACGAATTAGACACTCCTCTAGGCCTATGTATGTCATCACAAGCCAGTTAGGAATTGAACATTCTAGTAGGACATTCTACCAGCTAGCCAATCTAGGCATGGCTGAGGGAATTGCCCTTGGTGAGAGAGGAGTGAACTATTTCTCCTTTCTCCCTTTCATTGACCAGAGAATGACCGTGTGAATTTCAGAAGGTCAGAAGTTTTGAACTTCCATTGGTAGTAGAGTCTCCCTGGAACAACATCGGCTGATGGCAGTGTCTGAATTGGGAGCTGAAAGAAGCCAAAACCAAACTAGGCATAATGAGGATGAGCAGAGAGCTACACCCAAGAGGAATTTCATGAGGTCTTCAAAAAAGAAGAAAATAACTTCTAATAACTAGGAATTGTGAATTGTCCCTTTGCTGCAGATTTATTCTTCATGTGTGCCTCACTGCCATTGTACTCCAAGTTTGGACATACTCTTCTCATGTGTATGCTTATGGGAGAGTGTGTCCTAGACCTTTTGGGAGAAACGTTTTGATCCATTTGTTCTGACTATACCACCTTAGTAAATCAGCTTTTCCAAATGCTAATTAAGTCTGGTTGATAATCAGTGATGGGAGAGCACACTGGATTGGGGTTTGTGAGTAACAGTACTAGAAAACCCAACCTTTCAGGGTTACCCTTATTATACTCTCTGTGGACCCAGCCTTCTAATGGGTACGGGAGCTCCGTGAAACAATAACAGGGGAAAAGCTAGTTCCATAGCATTAGAAATGAGAGGAATTAAAGTTGGCTGGGAAGCTGACCCCTTAGCTACCTTGTTGTGGATCAGGAGCCTTAGTGGGGAGATTAAAGGTGATGCAGAGGGACTTAGGTCCCGCCCATAATGATGGAATGTGATTATAACAGCTTAATGAAATTATCCTGGAATGATGTTAGTTGGAGGAATGTTATTCATGGTATGGCCTGTATCAGTGTAAGTCATTATTATGGGTGTGTATATCTAAGTTGATCTAAAAATGAAAAAAAAAGTTAAATGTCAACTGTATAATTTAAGATCAATTTAATTAGAAGGCAGCAATTTAAATATTTTCTTAGCGTTATCTTTACATAATAGCATCAGTGTTGTCCACATAGCATGTGTGTTTTGGAATAAGTTCTTTTGAACAATTAAACATCATCTAATGAATTTACCTAAATAATTACTACTAATGAACATTTGTTTATTATCTTGCATTTCATTGCTATTTATTAACAGATTTCCAAGACAATAGATGATTTTGTAATCTGTGTTTTATAAAACCAGTAGTATTTGTTGGGTCCCTAGCAACCATTTAGTATGTAAATTAGGTATTCTCAGGCTTAATGTACTTCATTTTTATAAAACAAATACATCATTAATCTGATTAAGTTCTTGGATGAGAGTGCTGTCCTCAGATCATTGTGCATCATTTGTTGTTGGGGCATGCATCCAAAAAAAAATTCAAGCATGGCATTTACAGCCTAGGTTTAGTAGAATTGTTGAAACCTTCGAAGTGACATTTTCTGGAAGAATAGAAAAGCACTGCTTGGTTACGATTGCAAGTGTTACCTGAAACTTCACATACTTATTCTGAATTGTAATTCAGTTTAATGATAATTCCTGAATTTATGAGATATGTTTTTTCATACTGTAGAAGTGTGTCATGGAATAAAGGTGGTCCAAATGAATAAAAAACAGATTCTGTCTTTACAGTAGTGTCTTTTTTTTTTGTTTTGGTTTTGTTTTTACTTTTTAGGCATTTGGAGTTAAGTGACTTGCCCAGGGTCACACAGCTAGTTCGTGTCAAGTGTTTGGTCTGAGGCCGGGATTTGAACTCAGGTCCTCCTGACTTCAGGGCCAGTGCTCTATCCACTTCGCCATCTAGCTGCCCCTAGAGTAGTGTCTTAATTGGTATATTCTTTGAACTCAGAATTTGTCTTTGGGCTCTGGTTATATGTGGGTTTGTCTTCAATTTTAAGTCAAGGCTTACTATTTTAGATGGGAAATTTATGCATTTAGGAAACTTTTGTTAAGCACCTACTCTGTTGAAGTTAACAGGTTCAGGTTGCCCTCAAGGAGCTTATATTCTATTAAGGGAAAACAACATTTATACCAGTAAGTATAAGATAATTTGGGAAGAGATAGAATTCTGAGAACTAGTTTGCTCAAAAAATGCTTCCCACTATAATAGGAGGTGAGGTAAGCCTTGAAGACACCTAAGGATCTTAAAGAAGAGGAGGTGAGGAAGGAATTCATTCCAGGAATGGAGGAGAAGACTGGGATAAAGCATGCTGGGGAGAAGTGGAATGCTGATTTCTCACAGCAGCCAGCAGGCCACAAGAGTGCATGATAGGGAACATGTCTGAAATAAGGTATGCTGAAGTCCAAGTAGGAAGGGTTTTAATGCAAAACTGTGCAATTTGTATTTATGCTGGTAAAGCACTGAAGATTTTTGAGTAGGGGAATGACATGGGCAGACCTGTGCGTTAGGAAAATTATCAATAAATCAGTTATTCACCAAGAATTTATTAAGCACATTCTATATTCCAGGCACAGACAGAAATGAGTACCTCCCCTTCAAAGTGCATGTTATATCAAGGGAAACTGCATGTGCTCATAGAAATATGAAATGCAAAGTCACTTTGGGAGGTGCACTATCAGGTCAGGGTGGCCAAGAAAGGCCAGAGCTAGGAGATGGCAACTATGTGAAAAGTGAATTGGAGGGAGGAAAGACAAGAAGCAGGTAGGCTAATGAGGAAGCTTGGGCAGTAGTGCCGTGAGGGGATGCTAAAGGCCTGCACTGGTGGTTATGTGACTGAATAGAATACGACTGGATGTGAGAGATATTGTAGAGGCAGACCAGACAAAAGATGTAACTGATTGGACGTGGCAGAAGTGAGGGAGAGGAGAGACCCAGGGGTGTCTGTCAGGTTGTGAACCTGGGTGATGGGAGAGTAGTAGGGCCCTCCAAGAAACAAGGACATTTGGGGGAGATGCACAGCTAGGGGGCAAGATAAGAAGTGCAGTTTTAGACATATTAGATTTGAGGTGTCAGTGGGACATTCACGTAAAGAGGTGAAGCGGACAGTTAGTGGTGCTAAAATGGAGATCAGGAGAAATATTAAGACTGGCTGATTATTAGAATTGGTAGGTGCTGGACAAGTCAAGCATCAATTAACATTATTAAGAATGAAATAGATTTTATTTTAAGAGTCAAGAAAAGATTTGTAACTAGTGTAGGCATTATCCCTGAATCAGCCCGACGTACAGTTAGACCATTGATTCGTTAGAACTAAGATCAGAATTTGGTTTGTTTTTTTTAAATAATACCAATGAGAAAATCATATGGAGTACAATTAGAATGATTAACCCCTGATCTATTTAAATAAGTAATTGAAAATAAAAAATGAGAAATGGACAACAGAAATGACATCAATACCTACTATAATAATTTTATCCACAGGTTTGAACAATGAAAAAAGGTAATGCTACAACATGGCAGATGAGTTCAGAAAGTGCCTCAGTCAGCAACACCGGCTTAAAATGCAAACTCATGATGGATCTCAGATAGCAAAGAGAAACTGTGTAGGTAAAAACCGTGCCAAAGAGATGCTGGACTTGGGTTTGGATCCTTTCTCAGCCACTTGCTAAGATAGGCGATCCTGGGTAAATCACTCAGCCTCAGTTTTCTGTTATAAATGGGGCTAATAATAATAATAATACCCATTTCACAGAGTGTGAGGATTAAATGAGATAACATCTATACCTTGCAAACCCTAAAGCTCTATATAAATACTATCTATGATCACAATAATAATGATCCACATTATAATTACTAATATTATTAAAGAAAACATGACAGGATATCCAACTAAACACAGTTCTCCCAAGAGCCTTCAAGGATGAAAATGGAAAGACTATACACCAAAGACACGCCAAAGATTTGTAAAAGCCATTTTTTTTCATGAACTGTTTTTTCAAACAAGCAGAATAGAGCCATCACACTTGGACTCTTAACATCACAGTTCCCAAGGTACTTTTAGAGGAGGTAGAAATGATACTAAAGAGAAAATGTGAAAAATAGCCAGATTGGACCAAGTATATAAAGAGGAGATTCTGTAGTATACCAAAAATATAGGGAAAATCTTGGGCTTTGTTAATGCAAAAAAAAAAAAAGCCCTGAGAGAGAACATCAGTAACTACTGACCCATATGCTTATTCTTTCATCTATATGAAATCTTTATGAACTTGATTAATCTGCTCATTAATCAAGGGCATCCTCAATAGGTTATTAGTAGGAAATAAGCAGGTTTTCACAAGCAATACTAAAACAATATACAGATAAGATCCTATAGTGTGTATTGCTTGCAGATTATTTAAAAAAAAAAGCATTTGGTACCATAGAACAACATGCTCCTTATAAGCTCTTTTTTTTTTCAGTTATAAATTGGGGATATATAGTTTTATAAACCCTAATGGACTATAGAATGTTTTAGAAATTCTTTTCAGTTCATTTTCTTAGTTAATGCTGAGTTTGTGTTAACATTCCTCAGTGATTCACACATTTCATTTTTTAACCGTTCCATTGATCACATTCTAACATATATATGTTTATATATGTAGGTACATACATATATATAATATACATATATAAACCACACATACACACACATATACATACATATACATGTATGTATGTATATATATGTATTGTAGGTGTGGGGGGCTTATTCCTGTACTAATCTTTCAGCTCCCTGAAGGCTGGGACTTTGTCTTGCTTTATCAACCAGTTAATTAATAAGCATTTATTAAGAACCTACTATATATGCCAGATACTGTTAGGCTCTGGGGATAAAAAGATAAAAAATGAAACATCTCTTGCCCTCAAGAGCTTACATTGTATTGAGGGATACTTGTAAGTATGCAGGCATATATACATACATATATACATACATACATACATACATACATACATACATACACACTAATATATACTAAATACAAGGTAATTAAAAAGAGAAGAGACTATCTGGGAGGATAAAAAAAAGCTCATTTGAAACTTGTGATGTTCCTGATCCCCCCAAAAACCAGAAATTCCAAGAAATAAAAGTGAGGAAGAACAACATGTCCCCTTACAAGCTCTTTTACAGCAAGGTGTCTTCCATCTGTATATCAAGAACATTTGATACTCTTTGAAAGATGTAACATCAAAAATAATCGTCTTCATAGGCCCCCAGACAGGAGACATCAGGCTAGGAATTTTGTGCTTGTCAAAAAACTTTGCTAATATAATAGAAGACACCTAGTGCAGAGGTCAGATTGAGGAAGGATTCTCTGTGGATGATAAGGTCCAGAGTATAGAGGGACAGTTGGAAAGAAGCATAGTAGATTGGATTGTTTTCAAGAGATTACAATGCACTTTTACTGACTTTTAGCAAAAAGACACCTGCAGGAAGCCTTTCCTGGTCCTCCTTAATCTTTGTGCCCTCTCCCTGAGACTAGCTCCAATTTATCTTGTATGTATCTCATTGTTTGCATCATGTTGTCTTCCCTATTAAACTTTCCCTCAGTGCAACGACTGTCTTCTTTTGTTTTGTTTTGCCTTTCTTTGTATCCTTAGTACAGTCAGGGCTTGACAGGTAGTTGAGGCTTAATAAATGCTTGTTGCCTGACTCCAGACTTCCCAAAGGCCCATATTTTCAATGATGACATTTTGTAGATATTACTTTATGGCAGAAAAACATGGAATCCCATGACTCCAAAAAACTGAAAATGAGTATGATACAGGGCAGTGGAGAGCATGGTAGATAGAATCGGGTTATATCACACAAGTGATGAACTATGAAAAAGAAGGTATGTCATCAGGAAACCATATAACAGGGAGAGAGGGTCTGTTAGTCATATGGCAAAGGTGAAGAGTAACAGGTGAACAGTTATAGTGCTCTATTGATACCCTCCCTTCCTCCTTCTCTCCCTCCGTTCGTTCGTTCGTTCCTTTCTTCCTTCCTCCTTCCCTCCCTCCCATCTTTTTTCTCTTTCTATTTCTTTCCTTCATTACTTCCTTCCTTCTTCCCTTCCTTCCTCCCTCCATCCCTCCCTTTGTTTCTCCCTCCCTCATTTCTTTCCTTCTTCCTTCCTTTCTTTCCTTCTTCCCTCCTTTTTCTCTCTCTTTCTCTCTTTGTTTCTTCCCTACTTTCCTTCTTCCTTCCTTCTTTCCTTCCCTTCCCTTCCCTTCTTCCCTTCCCTTCCCTTCCCTTCCCTTCCCTTCCCCTTCCTTCCTTCCCTTCCTTCCCTTCCCTTCCCTTCCCTTCCTTCCCTTCCCTTCCTTCCCTTCCCCTTCCCTTCCCTTCCCTTCCCTTCCCTTCCTTTCCCTTCCCTTCCTTTCCCTTCCCTTCCTTTCCCTTCCCCTTTCCCCTCCCCTTTCCCTTTCCCTTTCCTTTTCCCTTTCCCTTCCTTTCCCTTCCCTTCCCTTCCCTTCCTTTTCTTTCTTTTCTTTCTGTCTTTCTTTCCTGATTTGTACTCAGGTCCTCCTGACTCAAGGGCCAGTGCTGTATCTACTGTGCCGCCTACCCCTATTGGTAGCTTTTCAATGTTGGAGAAACTGAGGAAGGCCTCTACTATGTTGTGGAAATCCTCTTGTGGTGAACTTTTGGGAGAATAAAGACTTTCAATTTCATACTGGGCGGGTATGTATGGGTTGCATTCTTTGTCATTGAAGGGTATTCCTGAGTCAATGAGATTATTGATCCATTTGAATATTTGAGTATATAGATTTGGGAATCATATGCATAGAGATGATAGTTGAACCCTTGAGAGCTAATGAGATCACTAGTAGAAGCATATAGAGAAAGAAGAAAGCCTAGGCTAAATGGACCTTGCCCAGAAAATGGACCTTGCCAACATCTGGGGTGGGGGCTATGTTGCCTCCCTGTACCTCTCATTTCATGGTTCTCTACTAACCTGCATTAATGCATGTCACATTGATCCCTGGGCTGTCACCTCCAGGATTCCATTACCTTAGTGGCTCTCTCCTAGAGCCAGCCTTCTACTATAGCCCTGAAGTAGGGGAGGAGAAGAGGGCCAGATTCTTTTGAGGAAGGGCTGACCCCTTCTTATTTTATACTGCCTTCTATGCAAGTACAATTCTTCCCCAATCAGGTTCTGTACCACCATCACCTTTCCCTATCAGTCCCATTATTTTTTTTCTTCCACTTTAAAAAATGCCTAATTACAACTGTGCTTGGGAGACTGAGACTCAGGAGACAACTGTGCCTTGGGAGACGCGTGGAAGTTCCATAATAATCCATCAAAGAAGACTGAGAAGGGGTGATCATACAGGCAGGAAGAGAATCAGGAGAAAGCAGTATCATAAAACTCCAGAGACAATAACCAGAGGATGTGGTGGCTAACAGTATCAAAAGCTGTAGAGAGATCAAGAAGGATGATGACTGCAAAAAGCCCTCAGATTTTGCAATGAAAGGACTGTTGATAACCTTTGAGAGAACAGTTTCCAGCCAATGGGTGAAGTTAGGTCTAGTAGAATTCAAAACATTATAATTTATAATGTAGATGGTGAATGTGATAGATTATTTTTTAAAAATTTATTTGTTTTTAGTTTTCAACATTCACTTCCACAAGATTTTGAGTTTCAAATTTTCTCCCCATTTCATCCATCCCCCCACCCTAAGATGGCATGCGTTCTGTATACCCCTTCCCCTAATCTGCTCTCCCTTCTATCTCTTACCCCCTCCTCTTATCCTCTTCCCCTTCTATTTTCCTGTAGGGCAGGATAGATTTCTATACCCCATTTCCTATATTTCTTACTTCCCAGTTGCATGTGAAAACAATTTTTTTAACATGTGTTTTTAAAATTTTGGGGTCCAAATTTTCTCCCTTCCTCCCCACCCACCCTCATTAAAAAAGCAAGCAACTTGATACAGGTTATACATGTGTAGTCATGTGAAACACTTCCATAGTAATCATGCTGTGAAAAACTAAGTGTATTTCCCTTAATCCTATCTCACCCCCCATTTATTTTATTCTCTCTTTTGACCCTGTCCCTTCTTAGACGTGTTTACTTCTGATTACCCCCTGCCCCAATCTGCCCTCCCCTCTATCATCTCCCTGCTCTCTTGTCCCCTTCCCCCCCCCATTTTCCTGTAGGGTAAGATTGATTTCCATACCCAATTGAGTATGTATTTTATTCTCTCCTTAAGCCAAATCCAATGAGAAGAAGGTTCCCTCATTCCCTGTCACCTTCCCCGGTTTCCCCTCTACTGTAAAAACCTTTTTCTGTCTGTTTTATGTGAGATAATTTACCCCATTCTGCCTCTCCCTTTCTCCTTCTCTCCATATAATCCTCTCTGACTCCTTTTTTTCCCCCTTAGGCAATTGGGGTTAAGTGACTTGCCCAGGGTCACACAGCTAGTAAGTAAGTGTCAAAGTTTTGGTCTGAGGCCAGATTTGAACTCAGGTCCTCCTTACTTCAGGGCCAGTGCTCTATCCACTGTACCACCTAGCTGCTCCTCTCACTCCTTAATTTTATTCTCCAGATATCACCCCTTCATCTTCAACTCACCCTGTGTGCTCTCTCTCTCTCTCTCTCTCTCTCTCTCTCTCTCTCTCTCTCTCTCTCTCTCTCTCTCTCTCTCTTGTCTGCC